TCATTTAAAAATGGAATTTGCTAACTTCTTTGCATCGTGCCTGGATTATATTTGAATTAAGGGAGGAAACAATGTTTAAAAAGCAAACCATAAAGCTACTTAGTGAGACCTTGAAATCTGTATCCTCAGTTTTGCATATTTCCTCATTCCATTGAGGTCCACAGTAATGAATAGACAGACTGTCTGAAAAGGGCTCTCTCAAACACTACCAAACTTCTTTGTAGTTGTACCACAGAGATTCGAGATGGGCTTTTTCTTCATGTTGTAGTGCTTTATAAAGTAATCTTTCTTCAGTTAAGATGAACAGGATGAGAAATGTGGGAATTATTTATTACAGGAGGCTGAGAGAAATTGTTAATCTTAACAGTCTTACCTCCTCATTGAATAGTTGTTGGTAAAAAATAATATTCTTTCATCTGTATTAGTCTTTGTACTTTTTAAAAACATGAATGTTAAAAATGAATGTTAAAAAGTGCTTTCCCATGTATTTTGCATCAAAACATGGGTTTTGGAGCCATGTAGCCCTGGGTTTGAAATTACCGCTTTCTAAACTGTGATTTCAGATTGGTTAAACCTTCATCTTCCTCACTTGTAAAATAGGATAAATTCATTTATTCATTCATTCATTCATTCATTCACATGTATTGTGTTTTACACTGTGGTAGGACAGTGCTAGATGCTATAGATAGGGAAAGATACAATCCCAACCCTTAAGGATTTTGCAGTCTAATGGACCTGAGAATTAGTATGTGAAAACTTGATGGTTGTAATACACTTTAGATCCATTTTCTCTCCTTTCTTCCCTTGTGAGAAGTGAGACAGATACCAAGCTTGGACAAGCTAGGTAACAGCCCCAGGTCACAAATTCAGTTAGTTGGGTGCCTGGAATAAAAGTCCAGAGTCTCTTCAATGCTGACTTCCCTGTTCCTTCCTCAGTCTGGAGATACGCACAGGCACTGTAAACAAAATGAAAGGCAGGCCTCAGTTTATCATCTAAGGCAAAATAACAGTGCTAGTATTTTCTTCCAAAACTCATTTAGTGAATAGTGAGCTTTTATCCCTAGCTTGCCATCAGGAATAAAATATGACAGTAATTGCCAATTCAAAGAAAAACAGCTATTCTCTTTGTAATGTGGCATTTGAGTGGCTGGATGTGAGGATCGTAGCAGGTTTACCAGTTGTTTTCCACCGTGTTTACTAAAGGTGAGCCCTTGAGCCAACACACATTGAATAAAACATCATACCTTAAGATCCCTAAAAGAGTAAACAAATCACAAACCATTTAGAAAAAAAGCAACAAAGTTTCCCTGCATTAGATTTCTCATAGCTATGGAGCTATGAGAAATTACATTTTCATCCTAAAAGTAATTCATATATCCTTCTTATGGTTAAAAGAACCTCTTTTTTTCTACAGAGGTTCAGTCTTAATGACTGAGCCCACAGAGAAGAGCAGTACATATATCAGTTGGTTCCTATAGTGTGGTCCTGTGATCACATTATGGAAAATGCTATCAATGTACTATAAATATTCTAAAAACTAGAATGGTTGAAATGCTAGTGTAAAACCACAGTAAATAAATGAGCATGGGACATCAAACAATTTGAAAAGGGAAACCGGAACTATTAAATGTCAAAACACTCCCAAACGCTATAGTTAATCAAAGAGATATAACATGAAAGTCCCCCCACCCTCGCTTTTTTTTTTTTTTTATTTAAAGTAAATACTACTGAATCTTGTAAGTGTGGCAATGTGTAGAAAGAACCGTAGGATTTTAAACTAAATTTTGTCCCAGTAATTCTACTTTGGGAAACTTAAAAGAAGTAACCTGAAAATATGCACACAAGTACTTAGTGGTATCTTATTTCTGGTAATTTAAAATAAAAAATCAGGGGAATGTTTAGCAAAATAAGGATGAGTCTACCTGAATGTAGTATTATGTAGTTGAAAAATTACATAGCTTATACGAAAACATAGAAAATTCCTTATGACATGTTTTATGAAGGCAAGTTGAAAACAACGTGTCCTCAGATTACAAATATGTAGACATTATATGTGTAAAAAGATTAGAAAATGCATATTAAATTATAAGTTATATTTATGTGGTGATACTATGGATGCTCTCACAATTCTGTTTTCTAGATGTCCTATAATGTAGTTATGTTAACTTTATAATTTAAATGAGCTATTTAAAAGAGAAATAGAGCTGATTTTTAAGGAATTCATTTTTTCTTCTTTGACTTTTAAATAATCTCTTACTGCTCTCTATACTGCTTTTATAAATTTTTTTTTTCAACGTTTATTTTTGGGACAGAGAGAGACAGAGCATGAATGGGGGAGGGGCAGAGAGAGAGGGAGACACAGAATCGGAAACAGGCTCCAGGCTCTGAGCCATCAGCCCAGAGCCCGACGCGGGGCTCGAACTCCCGGACCGCGAGATCGTGACCTGGCTGAAGTCGGACGCTTAACCGACTGCGCCACCCAGGCGCCCCACTATACTGCTTTTATATAAGACGTGTATAAAAAATATACAAGGGACCATTTAGAAAAGGAATTAGACTTAATCTTTATCAGATTTATGGCTTCACCAATGAAGGTACAATTCTCAGTTAAAATAAGTCTGGTTTTCCTCTTGATTGTTAGTATGTTTTCAAACCTACATTAAGAAATTGACTACGTTTTTTACAAGCTCTGTGACCACCATCCCGTGAGTCAGCTGACCACGATAATCTACAACTAGCTAAAGTTAATTTAGTAACAAAAACCAGGCAAAACATCAGGAAGCCAGTGGGCCACACAGATTAGTTGGTATAGCTACAACCAAACAGCTCTTGGCTCTCAGGATTCAAGGAATTCACCAGAGGAAATCCTTTTGGTTCCCAGGGAATGTGGTGAGGTACTCCTAAGAATACTGGCTTGGAACTAGCCTCAGTATGCAGTGAGTCTCAGGAACGACTACTTATTACCTTTATTTTATTGTAAAGGAGTATGTACAAATGGTTAGAATTTTTTTTTTTAAGTACAGCAGTGTATAAGTAAATGTCAAAATTATAAGTACCCTTTTCAGTCCTTCTCTCCATCCCATTCTTCCAAATTAGTCACCTGTTAGCAATAGCGATTTGGTATGTTCACTTCTAGTCACCTTAAGATATGTTTACTGGTATGTATATGTCCTTTTCTTTATAAATTAGATCATGGTAAACCAACCAAATATTATCTGCTTTTTTTACTTAATCATATGTTCTGAATATGTTTCCCTGTTACTATATATGTACATTTCCACTGTTATTTTCTATTTATTTTTAAGAGCTGTATATTATTCCCTTTTAGTACACTTTTCAGTTAACATTCCAGTACATATCCTTTCCTTCTTAGGATAAATTTCTAGAAGTAAAAATTGCTAGGTAAAAGGGATGTTTATTTAGCATTTTGATAGATATTCCCAAATTGCCCCCCCCCAAATATTTACATTCTCAGAGTTTGTACATGAGACATACATATATATATGACATGTACATATATGAGAAATGTAAATACATTTATTCTAGCATATCACACAAGTCTTTGGGTTATTAAAATAGGGATTATGCTTTTAATACTCTCCCAGAATGCTTTGTAACCCATATATCACATGTTGTTTTCTGGGAAAGCTGTGTTTGTTTTCTCTCTCCTGCTAGAGTCCCTTGACAGCAGGTTTTTCATCTGGTACATTTCTGTGTTCCTTAAAGGACCTTGCCTAAAGTCAGCTTTCAATAAACACTCTTTGTTGAATGTCGTTTGCTAAATATATTTTACCCTTGGCTAGGACATAGATTTAGCCAAAACTGTCCAAGGATTAGTCATCAGTGATTCACAATTATGCAACCAAGAAGTAAGCCTAAACTCAGCGATTTGTTTAGTGTTAAAGCTTGCTTCCCTTGGGCACAGTTAAAAGGGTGGTTGGTTATTTAACTGTACTGATTTTCTCGTTTCAGTGGAACTCCTTGACTTTTATTGCCAATGTGAAATGTACTTTTCATGGGGAATAAAATACTTATTGATAAACAATTTAAAAGGAATCACCTTCTGCAGAATCGATTCATAAGATACAGAATTTTTTTTTCTCTCACAGTGAGATTCAAAAAATAGAAAATGTCTTGAATTCATGTAGATTTGCATAGCTGGCTTTTGAAATATTTTCCTAATGGCCATGATTTTATATTTTTCTTATCTATAGTATTCCTCTTACTTCATTCTTGGAGGGACTGGTTTTCATATATCCTGAGAAACTTTAGCTCCATTACTCTGGAGACACTCCCAGGCTTACCTGTGTATTAGAGTAATGCTAGCTGCTGTAACAAACTTCAAAAATTCAGTAGCTTAATATGGTAGAAGTTTATTTCTCCCTCACAAATAGTCCAGAGTGGTGTGGTGGAGGGGGGTTTGTGGTTGGCAGGTGGCTTTTCTCGGTGTTGTGATTCAAGGATACAGCTTCTCCGTCTAATGACTGCCATTCTGGAGTCTTCTAAGTAGGAAGAAAGAGGATGGAGAAGGCATACCCACGTCTTAACTGCTTCAGCCTAGAAAAGATATACATCACTTCCACTCACATTCCATGTTAAGACCTACTTTTGGCTCTGCTTAGATACAGGAGAGGAGAGAAACATAGATCTTGGCTTAGCAACTATGTTCTAACAACAAATCCGCAATATGGAAGGAGGAGCACGTATTTTTTTATGGATAGTTAGTGGATTCTCACAATAACCTATTAGGTAGGCAGAACAGGTTTCAATTTTGGATTAAAAGAGGTACTGAAAAGTTGAAATCCCACAGCTAGTTAGTGGTAGAAATGCAATTTAGAAAAGCCAGATCATCTGACTCCTATTCAGTTTCTCTTTCCTTAATATTAAAAAGTAATCTTATCCTGGCTTAAAGTGTAACCCTGTTGGTGATTCATTACTTTAAACTGCATACTATGACTTTTTTTTTTTTTTTAACTCCTCTTTTCTCTAAGGACCTGACAATGTCCCTGTATTGTGGAATTGCTTGCAGGAGAAAATCTTTTTGGTCCTATAGGCTGCTGTCAACTTATGTCACTAAGAGCCGGTGAGTTGTGACCGACCTGAGCTCTGATTATTCTCTTTGGCCCATTACATTATAAAATATAAATATCTCAAAATCCTATATTAAGGAATCCTATATTAAGTAGAATTAAGGATGCATGATTAAGATTTACATATGGGGTTCCTGGGTGGCTCAGTTGGCTAAGCGTCCCAGTCTTGATTTTGGCTCAGGTCATGATCTCACAGTTGGTAAGATTGAGAGCCTTGGGGTCTGTGTTGACAGCACAGAGCCTGCTTGGGATTCTCTCTGTCCCTCTCGTGCACACGTGTTCTCTCTCTCTCTCTCAAAATAAATGAACAAATAAAAAGATTTACATATAAGGATGTTCACTGCAAATTATTTATAATTGGAAACATTCTAAATAAACTAAATTTCCAATAATATCTAAAATATCTGACATACTTAAATATTTAGTTCTATTAAGATAAGAACTTTGTCTTTCCTGCTATGGTACCCCTAGTGCATAAAACAATACCTGGTACAGAGTAGGCACTGAAGGACTGTTGAATGGATGAATGAACAGTAAGGGACAAATTAATTGAATTATGGTATGCCCATATGATAGAATGAAAAACTATACTGTAGAGTGATAGTTCATGAAGTTTCCTGAAAATAAGGTGATAACTCTAATCCCCTCACCCCCTAAGAAAGAACTAAACTACCAGTGAAAGATAGACCAGGAAAAAAAAAAAACAAAACTATACCAGTATAGGTAGATGGTAAAGGACTTTTTTTGTCACGGCTTGGGCAAATTTGAAATCCATGAATCTGAAATCACTGTCCTGCTCTCATAGTTTTGGGGTTTAAATTTGCACCATCTGTGTGGTATGGATCCCAAACCCAACCTAAAAAAAGAATGTAAGTAGTAGTCCTAGACTTATAATACCCCTGGGCACCTTGCAGAAGCAAATATAAAATTCCTCTGAAGAGATACAGTCCTAACCAAGGCTTCCTACATAAAAAGCTCTGTCAGACAGGAATGCCCAGTCCAAAATTTAAAGACCCCTAAACATACAGTCTGACATAAGCAGGAGAAAACAAAATTGCAGCCCTTATTTTAGATACTGTTGGGCATTTAGGTTATTTGCAGTTCTCAGGCTGAGACTTTGAGAGCAATAATTGAATTATTGAACAATTATTGAATAGTCTAAAAATGACTGTGTTAAAGTGACTTAAAAATGAGTAAAAAATCCTGAATGAAATTCTTTCAATAAGGAACATGGTGTGAAAAAATGTTAAAGAAAAAAAGGCTACAAATTAGTAGGTATGGTTCTGAATACACCTACATTCATATAGATACACAATAAATAGTTCGAAGAATTCCCAGGTGTAAAGAGCGATCATCTCTGAATGGTGAGGTTCTTGATGATTTCCCTTTTTTGAACAAATTGTTAACTATATTTACTGATTTTTACTGATGACTTTTTATTTTTATAAATAGGAAAAAAAAACAGTTTAAGTCTGATAATCTTAGTGTTGTTTCCATGCTATTATAACTAAGGGAGGAAAATGAATTTTTAAAATTAGTGTTCCTGATCAAGAAGAAAAATGTAAGGATCTTTTTGGATCTCAGTTCCAGTTCCAGTGAGGCCTCGAGTTTAAGAACTTAACCTGGGTGTTTTTGTAGGTGTTTTGTTTTATAGGGTCATTAGGGCAAAGCACAGGTTGTACCACTCTTACTGTTCTCTTAGGAAGGCAGCAGTGTTTGTTCTATTGTTTATATTTGGTAACTTCTGAGTGGCACGTCTCTCCTTTGACATGCATTAAGTCTTTGCCCCAGGAAGCCGCAGTCACTTTCAAAAGGTTTAAAAATACCATGAGGATTAAGATCTCAGGTTTCTTTGGTCTTGTGTTTATAAAGAGCTCACTGTAACTCCCTTTATCATACAGTCAAAAATAGGTTCTGGGGCGCCTGGGTGGCTCAGTGGGTTGAGCATCAGACTTCCACCCAGGTCATGATCCCTTGGTTTCTGAGTTTGAGCCCCACGTTGGGCTCTGTGCTGACAGCTCAGAGCCTGGAGCCTGCATTGGATTCTGTGTGTCCTCTCTCTGCCCTTCCCCTGCTCACACTCCCTCTCTCTCTCAAAAATAAATAAACATTTTTTAAAAATTAAAAAAAAAAGTTTCCTAAAGAGACCACTGGGGCACATTTATCATTTTGCTTTGCAGTTCCATGTTGAGCTAACACTATTGATGTTACAAAAGCTCCCAGATCCTACAGAAAATAACCATAAACTGTGTTGCCCACTTAAGTGACAAAATCTGCCATAAGTCTGAGTCTCTTTGGGGGCTTTTAACAGGCAAGAATGGTTATCCCTAAGGCTCTAGAAGGAGAATCCCACATTCAGTACCCCTTGAGTCATGTGGACCCTGACCTGATTTCCAAGGCTCTTGACTTAGGTCATCTTTAATGAAGGTGCTCGGAAAGCCTAGAACTGGATCAAATACTATTTCTTTTAGAGAAACTAATGATAGGATGTTGTCTTTTCTGTATTTGTATTTTGGCTATTGAAAATATTACACTTATTAAGTTAAGTGTAGGTCAAGCATGGGCATCACTTTCCCATTAGTGGCCTCTTCCATAGAAATAAGGAGCTAATGGTGTCCACGGGGGTGGTGGGGTGGGTGGGGACTAGATGTTTGAAGCTACAATGGATTGAAGATAAAATCTGGTCTTTATCATCCCTAGACTGAATGAGAGTTACTTAAGTTATACTGTTTGCTCTTTGTCTGCAATAATAAAGTCTGCTCCCATCTCTAGGTATTCTGTGGTTGATGTTTTATCACTGTACTTGTTTTTCTTTCACTCCACTGCATGTAAATTCTTGCCTCACAGCGTAATATTGGCAAAGTACCTTGAGGTTCAATTCAGTAAATATTTATTACCCTTGAAGTTCAATTCAATAAATATTTATTGAATTGAGCCATTCAATATGCTAATTACTGGAGATACAGAACTAAGGCTGACCCTGTCCTGAAGGAGATCATAGTTTTTCAGGGGAGACAGACAAATTAACAAATGGTATAATAGAAGTGCAACCACAGAAGTATGGGCAAATGTGTATAGTAGCACAAAGGAAGGAATGAAATGATTGCCTGCAGCCAACTGAAACCCTTTTCAGAGCAATTTAGGATATAATATAAATAAAAGGAAATAACTATGGTAGGAGAGGGATGCAGGGACAGAGTTCTAAAAGGTGAATGTTGTATAAGTAGGTGTGGTTTTGTAATGCTTTGATTATTTCCAAAATACAGGTACTTATTTGAACTGAAGGAAGATGATGATGCATGTAAAAAAGCCCAGCAGACAGGAGCATTTTACCTCTTTCATAGCCTGGCTCCTTTGCTTCAGAAATCAGAACATCAATACCAGGCCCCCCAGCATAGCCTACTAGGTAAGCCCAAAGAGGACCTGTAGAATAGACCAGCCTGTGGCCATTAAGCAGAATTCCATCCGTATCAAATCCCTGAGAAAGGATCTTTTGACCTGAGAGTCCAGATTTTTCAAACTGTTTCTGCCAGTTAGTAGTGTACAAACCTGAGTTGTCCAGATATTATATGGTGATGGTGTGAACCACTACTGCCTTAAACGAGGGGTTAGCGAGACTGCTGTCCAGATTGGAACCCACCGCTTGTTTTGTAATGTAAATATTTATTGGAACACAGTCACGCTCATTCATTTACATGTTGTCTGTGGCTGTTTTGGCACTACAATGGCAGAGCAGTTGTGACAGGGACCACATGGCTCGCAAAGCCTAAAATATTTAGCCAAACCCTGCCTTAGGCCAGTGATTTCCAGCCTCCATGGAGTTGCACACTGTTCTACTGTTTAAGATCTGCGTTAGGACTTCATTTCTTCTAGAAGGGTCAAAATAAGGGGTGCCTCAGTGGCTCAGTCAGTTAACTGTTCAACTCTTGCTTTTGGCTCAGGTCATCATCTCACAGTTCGTGAGTTCAAGCCCCACACTGGGCTCTGTGCTGACAGTGCAGAACCTGCTTAGGATTGTCTGTTTCTCTCTGTTTCTGCCCCTCCTCGACTCTTCTCTCTCAAAATAAATAAATTTTATTTAAAAAAAATGTTTTTTCTTTTAACATTTATTTATTTTTTGGGACAGAGAGAGACAGAGCATGAACGGGGAAGGGGCAGAGAGAGAGGGAGACACAGAATCGGAAGCAGGCTCCAGGCTCTGAGCCATCAGCCCAGAGCCTGACGTGGCGCTCGAACTCACGGACTGCAAGACTGTGACCTGAGCTGAAGTCGGATGCTTAACCGACTGAGCCACCCAGGCGCCCCACAAAATAAATAAATTTTAAAAAATTTTAGAAGGGTCTATGGCCATACCATCCTGAACGTGCCCGATCTCGTCTAAAAAATTTTAGAAGGGTCAAAATTAAAAGTGATTTAAAATTAATTTGTTTTGAGAACTCTTTTAGGGTATGTAACTAGGCATACCTAAGCCATTGGGATTTTGCATTCAAGGTACTCTCAGTTTTACATGATATCACTATATACTGACTTCTAAATACAAACAAAGCCAGTGAATTTCCTCCATGGGTCAGATATTGGAGTATTTGGATAGTTTCTAGCAGTGCGGAAGAGTATAAGGATGCCATCAGAAGGCATGTTGTATTATGTTGTATTATGAACAAATAAATATAAGTCCTTCATGCAGAGGAGGACAGGTTTTCTCTCTAGGCATCATTTGTCTTATACAGACTGGGATCTCAGATGAATCGTCTACCCTAGTCCGTACAAGCAGCATAATCTGGAGACTAAATCATATTTAACTGATTTGTTCTCTTCCATTTTAAGCATGACACATTTTTCCCCCCAGTGTCATACTACATTAACTATTGTGTATTTTTTTAACTAGGGGATATGCTCCTTTCATGATGCATTCATGAGAGTCCAGTGTTACACAGTAAGAATTCCTTCTTTAGTCTAAACACTTTAGGTGGCTGATGAGAAGGTGGAGGCCTAGAGAGGTTAAGTGATTAGACCAAGATGACATTGCTAATTAGCTGCAGGGCAATGACTAGAAGCAGGTATATCTACTTCAAACTGAAGTAGAGGATTTCCTATGAGTCTAATATGGCTGTGGTGATTTAATTAAAACCTTTGTTTTTCTCCCTTCTCCCTTTCTGTTTCTTAGAGTTGGAAAGGCTCCTAGCTAAGTTTGGACAGGACACACAAAGAATAGAAGATTCTGTGCTGATTGGATGCTCTGAACAGCATGAAGCATGGTTTGCTCTGGATCTAGGTCTAAATAGCTCCTCTTCCATAAATGGTATAGAACATTCTTCCTAATGGGAACTTCCCAGTGGTGCTCAGACTTTGGGGTTTCAACATAATAGCAAAATTTCAAAGAAAGTTTTGAGAACACCAAAAGGTTATTAACTTTGTATTTTTTTTAAGTTAGGATATAAAAAATCCTACCATCTACTATCATTATCATTTAAAGAAAGTAAAGAACATTTTAATACCTTCTCAGGTGGTAGGTATACCGATGTTTATTGTATTATTCTCAGTACCTTGATACATTTTATATTTCTTAACTATTTCATAAGCAATGTTTTAAAATTAATGACATTGTTCTTATCTCAAGTGGGAAGAAATATGTTACCACGCAGTAGCTCAGGGTCTTCAGACCTACATTTGGGAACCAGGTTGGTATAGGTTCATGGCTCCTATTAGGCTTTCCTTCTCTCTTTCAGAGTCTAGGTGTAAATGTAATGATGCTGGAATGAGGTGCAGATAGAAGCCTAGACATTCCATTTTACCTCTTTTTCAGGGATAGCATGTGGCTAGTGCAAGTATTTTACTCTGAAGAGGATCTTGAGAAATACTATGCTCTAATTTTTCTCAAATTTGCATGAACATAAGAATCACCTAATGCTTATTAAAAAATACAGATTTCTGGCCCTCACTCCCTTGCTGTTCAGAATCTCCAGGTAGAGGCTTAAGAACCTATACATTTTTTATTTTCCCTAGTTAAGTCTTATTAGGTGAGTTTGGGAAACACTGTTCTAACAGGTATCCTTGAGAGGGGCCCCAAGGCAAAGTTTGGCATTTGTTTCATTTCATTCTCATTTCTCCTTTTCTAGCTTCCTTACAGAAACCAGAAATGGAGACAGAGCTCAAGGGGTCTTTCATGGAGCTGAGGAAGGCTCTCTTTCAGCTGAATACAAAGGATGCCTCCTTGCTGTCCACGGTAGATTCTGACTTCTCAGTTCTGTAGAAAATTTAGTAAAGCAGTGTTGATGGGTGAATACATGCATGCATATGCAAGGCTAGAATGACATTTGATTTCCTCCTGCACAGAGAGATCATAGTCCTTCCTACAAACCTTGGCTGGACAATGTGCTGTAGGAAGAGTGCTTATTCTTCTTCCTTTTGTCCTTATTTTTGGCAGGACCATTTTCTCCTATAGCAGTCTGATTATCAGCCTCATGATATTTTTAATGACCCACAGCATAATATATACATCATCATGTTACTCCTATGAGAAATTACTTTGTATTGCTTTAATGACATCCTCACAGCTTTGGATTTCACTTGCTGAAGTACTTTTGGTTTTTCATTTAATTTTTTTTTCTGCAAATATATATTTTTTAATGTTTATTTTTTGAGAGAGAGAGTGAGCAGGGGGAGGGACAGAGAGAGAAGGGGACAGAGGATCCAAAGCGGGCCCTGCACTGACAGCAGTAAGCCTGTTGTGGGGCTTAAACTCATGAACTGTGAGATCATGACCTGAGGCAAAGTCCAACTTTCAACCAACTGAGCCACCCAGACACCCCTGCAAATATGTTTAATGCACTTAGATTACACAGAGGAAGAGGAGCAAGAAAGAAACAACATCTAGGTGAGTCGCCCAAAAATTCTTACAGATGTCCCAGGGCTGGCTGCAGCCCCCAGGAACCGAGTCACTATTGACATTAGAAATTAATATAAAATTTTACGGAAGTCTGCTCATTGCAGCATTCAGGTACTTGTACAAAGGGAGGGCTCTCTCTACAGGGCTTGTAACAGGAACCCAGGTACCTCACCTGGCATGGAGAACCTAGAAGCCAGAAAGAAAAGACAACTGGATTAAAAAAAAAAATACGGTCAAGAGAGTTCTCTACTGGTCTGCTCCATAGAGTACCAACCTTCAGGTTTTTTCTGTGCTCTCAACTCCATCTCAAAACTCAGTCCCAAGGCTCTTGTGTTTACTTTTAAAAATGCTCAAGCCCTTTAGACTCTTCCCCAAGGCTTCCTAGTCCCTTCCCTAAAGCCTTGCCTTTGGAACAGGAAGAGAAGGGCAAGAAATTGTTCATTTAATTTAAAAAGACACCTCTAAACATTTTTATTTGCAAACAAATTCCACTTTTATTGGGAGGAGTACATGTTGAGGTAATGTCTTATTTTAAGTTGGGTCATAAGTGCATGGGACATTCATTACAATACTTTATATATTATATGTACTTTAAATAATTCATAATACATTTAAAATATACTTTCTTTTATTCATATTAGATGCTAGAGGAATATGTTCAGACAGTTTTCCTTGTTTTTAAAGTTTAAATGGTTGGGTGCCTGGGTGGCACAGTTAAGCATCTGACTTCAGCTCAGTTCATGATCTCATGGTTTGTGAGTTCGAGTCCTGCCTTTAGGTGAGCATGAGCCCCACTTCCAGCGAGCTCAAGCCCCATATTGGGTGAGCCCCGCTTCTCTCACCCTCTCTCTCTCTCTCTGCCCCTTGTTGGATTCTCTTTCTCCCTCTCTTTCTCTTGTTCTTTGCTTGCTTACACCCTCTCTCTCTCTCTCTCAAAAAAAAAGAAAAAAAGAAACCAAACAAAAAAAGTAAGTTTAAACAGTTAATAACCATTTAAAGTAGGTGAGCTGGAGGTGCCTGGGTGGCTCAGTCAGTTAAGTGTCTGACTCCTGATTTTGGCTTAGGTCACGATCTCACAATTTGCGATTCGTAAGACTGAGCCCCAAGTGGGGCTCTGTGCTGACAGCGTGGAGCCTGCTTGGGATTCTCTCTCCCTCTCTGCCCTTCCCCTGCTCGTACTCTCTCTCTCTCTCTCAAAATAAATAAACATTACAAAAATAATAAAGTAGGTGAGCTGGAAAAGGATTGGCTTTTCCCTTTGACTTGCTCTAAATACTAGGCCCAGGACTATTATAGGTGAGCTCCATATTCTCTCCAAATGAAACCAAGCCCATCTTTGTATTCCTAGGCTCAGGCTCTTCTCCATTGGCATGACGGTCATCAGTTCTGTAGCAGAAGTGGGCAGCCCACCAAGAAGAATATGGCTGGCAGCAAGCGTGTATGCCCTTCCAATAAGATTATCTATTATCCACAGGTAAGCACTACTTTAAAAGGACAGTAATCCAAGAAGGCTATGCACTACTCTGTCCTGGGGACAAAAGCCTGTACAATTCAAAGGCTCTCCTTAGTTATCCAATCCTTCATCCCATTAATAGGCTCCAAAGCCCTAATGTCGAAGTTTCTATCCCCTTTTCCTAGATGGCTCCTGTGGTGATCACTCTGGTGTCAGATGGGACTCGATGCCTGCTTGCCCGCCAGAGTTCCTTTCCCAAGGGAATGTATTCTGCCTTGGCAGGTTTTTGTGATATAGGTAAGGAGTTTAGGGCATATACAGATGACTGGAGGACACAAAAGCTTAATAACAGTAGGTATTTCTTTGCCTTGTTGCCGCAGTGCTTGGAGTATTAAACACCCTCTTCCCTATGATGTCAAGAAAACTGTCTTCTTTGGCACCTGTGTGGTTCAGTTGGCTGAGCATCTGACTCTTGATTTCAGCTCAGGTCATGGTCCTAAGGCCAATGAGATGTCAGTCTCTGTGCTGAGCATGGAGCCTGCTTAAGATTCTTTCTCTCTGGAGTGCCTGGGTGCTCAGTCAGTTCAGTGTCTAACTCTCAATTTCAGCTCAGGTCACAATTTCACCGTTTGTGAGACTGAGCTCCATGTCAGGCTCTGGATTGACAGTGCAGAGCCTGCTTGGGATTATTTCTCTCCCTCTCTCTCTGTGTCTCTCCTTCTCATGCTCTCTCTCTTCCTCTGTCTCAAAAATAAACAAATATTAAAAAAAAAAATAACTGCCTTCTGGCATTATAATTTTTCAATATTAGGCAAATTTTCAAGCATACAGCATAGCTGAAAGAATTCTACAGTTAACACTTATCCATACACTTACCACCTAAATCCCATAATTTTTTTCTTCATCTACTTTATCACATATCTATCTATTCTATCCATCCATCAATCCGCTTTATTCTTTGATGCATAGTTTGAGACATTAGTACACTTCTCCCTAAATATTTCAGCATGCATTGTATTAACTAGAATTCAGCATTTACAGGTTGTTTTTTCTCAGTCTGTTGGGGTAAAATTTGCAAATGGTGAAAGGTGGCATTAAAATTTTATTAAGGCTGAAGTCAGCAGTAGCTTCTCCCAGTGCTACTCTTATTTTGCATTACAACTAACCAAATGACTAGTGTAAGTATTGCAGTTCAGCCTCCAGCCCCAGACTTGATTCCCGCTGTTACTGAGACTCGGGGATTTAGGGCTCTCCCAAGAATACTTCATTGAAACTTTGGAGCCAGTTTCCGCTCCTTTCACAAATGGGCATCTGTATCACCCTTCCCGCTGCAGGGCTGTCCTGAATTAATCTGAGTGCTTATAGGTGAAAGCCTGGAAGAGGCTGTCCGGAGAGAAGTTGCAGAAGAGGTGGAATTGGAGGTGGAAAGACTACAGTACTCTGCATCCCAGCACTGGCCCTTTCCTAATAGCTCACTCATGATTGCTTGTCATGCAACTGTGAAATCAGGGCAGACAGAGGTAAGTTCTGATGCTTCCCTTCTGCTGTTTATTTCCTTTGCTTCACTCAAGTTGGTTAGTAGGCATGTGTGTTATCCAGCATTGTCTACATTATACAAAGGATGTGTAACATATGATTTGGTCCCTTGAAGAATTTGCAATCTTATAAAGGAAACAATCTCCATGAAAATTCAGAGCACCAACACAATCACCATTTTTCCTTATTTGTATCTCCGTCATGAGACAGTTTGCTTTTCATCATCAGGACTTAACAGAGCATCTTGCACAGAGAAGGCACACAATAAATATATCAATCAAATTGAATGATGGATTTCAGGATGGGTCTTACTGTTCAAGTCTGTTAGGATGTTGGGGACTAATTATATAAAATCCTAGGAACTTCTGGTAGAAAGGGATTTAGATGTTGCCTTACCCAGCCTCATCTTGCTTTTTGGTAGCATGCCTTGACAGATGGCATTGTGGGCACAGGTTCCTACCTGTGTGTTTCGGTTTGCATAGAATTTGTAATATCTCATCTGTCTCAGCTTCCTGTGGGGGGAATTTGCGTTGCAAAGAAGATACTACGCTTTTGATTATCACTAACTATCCCTTATCCTTTAAAGAAGAGTAATTTTATGTTTTTAAATAGAAAGTTATATAATCAATAGGGGCACAAAGAAAAACAAACATTATTTATATACTACACCTCACTGTTAACCACTCTTCAGTATTTCAGTATTTGTGCTTCCAGGATTTTTAAGATGAACTTTTTTCTTTTTCACTATTTACAAAAATATATTTAACTCTCACCTTTTAATTATGCCTCTCTTGCTTCTGTGCAATATCTAAAACTCCCAGCCTATAGATCCCAGGTATTGCTCAGTTCCGGAAACATCTTCTCACATTTGGCTAGAGTATTCTAAATTTTATAGCTCCTAACCTTACATCCTGTTTTTCTTTATGTCTTTTAGATCCAGGTGAACTTGAGAGAACTAGAGGCAGCTGGCTGGTTCAGTCATGATGAGGTGGCCACAGCCCTGAGGAGAAATAATCCATACACTCAGCAACAGAATGGGACATTCTGGTTGCCCCCCAAGTTAGCCATTGCCCACCAACTGATTAAGGAGTGGGTAGAAAAGCCAAACTGGTCTACCCTGCCTGCTTAACTCAGGTTGAGACATCTAGATCCTTTCTCAGTATCTTGGAGGGGCATAAGAGAGATCAGTTGATAAAGGGGAGGTGATAAAAGGCCATCTCCAGGACAACTTCATAATAAGGCAGAATAGAAGGTAATCCTACAGTGGGCTGCCTTTAACAGCAGTGTTAAGGAAGTTCTTCTTCAAAGGCAATCAAAAATGCCAAACTGATAAGATGACGATTGTCAAAATCAGAGGGAAAGTTGAAACATTAGTTTGGATATAGGCCTTTGTTCAGCAATTTTCATTGAGGCCTTGGAAGCAAACATCTCTTCAGCAGGTATCTTGTTAATGCTGGATTTATACTAACTGCCAAAATGTGCCTGATAGAATTTTATCTTACTACTGAAAGTATACAGCAAACCTCAACCCACTCCTGACTTTTCATCCTCACAGAATTAAGAAAAATAGCACAACCCGGGATTTAAATAAAAGTCATATTTAAGTCATCTGAAGGGATGAGGAAAGTGGGAGCCAAGGTCTTCCTCAGGGTACTCTGTAATAAATCAGATGCAGTGATGTTTTGCTGAGGTAACTGCACCCCAGTGGGGTTTATGATAGTTAAGTCTTTTGCAGTTAACTTGCTCAACTTGTGACCCAAGGAAAAGATGATCACTTTGCCATGTCTGACTTCCTAAATGCACAACAGTCACTGCCATTTGCATATCCAGTTAAGTGTTGTAACTTCACTTAAGGGATTAGTGAGGATGAACCATTTCTTGAGCTTTATCAGATAAACTAATGTAGGATTTCTCATCATTCGTGTGTCATTCTACACCTCATCATAGAAGAGAAGAATTTATCTGGAGGAAATAAAGTAAATTTCCACACCTTTGTTCAGATGCATTTTTCTGTCTTACGAAGTGAGGAAATTATAGAAAGTGAGAATTTGGGACAGGGGATAGGGAGGGAGAAAAGCAATCTGTTAGTGTGATAAACATTCAAGTCGAGGTTCCAAATGTGGAAGAAATGAAGCGATGTACAGAAGAAATACAGTTAGAGGTCTGTTTGAAAAGAGGAATGGCCAGGAAAGAGTTGTATCTTGGGATGATTTTAGGTACTAATTTATGATAAAAGACACAAGTGCCAGAGACCCTAACATTATTCACACATCAAAGTCTACAGGACTAAGCAAAAGAGATTCTAGAATTAGACAAGATGAAGCACTGAATTTCCCTCTGATCCCAAAAGGTCATTGCTTTCGCCATTGCCAGCAAATCATCAGTGCTTTGGGGAAATCAAAGTGCCTTCATCAGGAAACGTTGAGGGATAGTATGTGACAGGTCTTGATTGTCCTGCTAGGTTGGCAGCTTGCCCTGACCTGAACTGAACCCAGCATGTAGAAGGGAAAAGCACTCTCGAAAGAGAGGTCCTGAGATTTCTTCATATCTTGCAGTTAGAAGAAAACAGTTCAGGGTCCATGTGTATTACCATCTCCCAATGTTTTCGGTCTCTATGTGGGTGTGTTTGTGAGCACATGTGTACACATCCCCCAATCTGAAAATACTGACAGAAAGGGGAGTGTGCAGGATTCCTGGTTATGAGTTTCTCAAACTTACCATGGAGTAACTGTTTGCTTTTGGATTAATGTGTTGTTTTAGAAAAGAAAAGATGTGAGAGGCTAATAGAGGAGCTGCAACGTTGAACTTTGTTTCCTGGCAGTGAGTGGGGAGAGGGCTTTGCTTCTTAGAACTCCAAGGATATCTGAAAAGTGAGGCAAAACAGGGCAGGGTTCGGGAACTAAAAATGGCAGATAAATAAAATGAACTTTGGTACAGGGCCTACCTGGATAGACAATATTCATGTGGCAATGAGCTGTGAAGGTGCTAACAATAAAAAGAGCCCACTCAGTTCATGAAGCAGAATAGGAAAAACAGGTAAAACATAAAAACAAATGTATCTATTACCAGAGTGAGCCTGGTAATTGGAATAAAAAAGCAACTCATTCATTCCTTATTTTTGCCTTTAACCCTTAACAAAGATAAACTTAATGTTCTAAACATGGAGTGTGTAAATCAGGGGCTGTCCAGGAACTTGATATTCTGTCTCCTGCTGACTTCAAAACCTTTTATGTTACCTCATAGTCATCCACACTACAAATGAGCACAATCAGACTCAATATTTATTTAAGAAGAAAAAAGAGGTGAGATGTGCTGGTTAATCTTGCATCGGCTTACTTGTGGGTCTGTGATTGGTGTTATCAGGCAGCTGTACTCCCATGCTTTGTAAAAGGTTGGACGCAGGTCCTGCCAGGCCAGCTTGGGAACTATAGGATTCCAGTATGTTGGAAACCAGGTTCAGGTCTACGTCCACTGGTGTCATAACAGATCCTCCTGCACCAGAATCTTCCTCATCTGAATTATTACTGGTAGTCTGGGAGAGAGGTTCCTTATTGATAGAAAAGAAAATCATGAGATAATAGGCCATTAGGTTGGATGGTAGTTACAATAAAAACTAAACAATGTAAAATTGAATTCTAAATTAAAAAGGAAATTTCTTATCCTTAATGACAAAGTAAAAATGAAATCTAATAAACCTTACAATTTAACACACACACAATAGAATGTGGTTCTAAAGATTAAAACACACTTCTTTCTAGGAAAAGTTTTTATAAGTTGGACTTCTTCCCCATTCTGAAATAGCCCAAGGGAGATAACCAGGGTTAAGGAGACATATTTATAACTTACCTAAGAGTTGTAAAAGAAATAAAAATGAACATTTTATATATATATAAAAGAACCTATTTTTTTTCTAAATGAAAGAAACTAGATTTCTTTTTTTTTTTCCTCAATGAAAAAACTTCAAGTAAAAACCTGAAGTTCTGCGGAATTCAACCACAAAGATTCTGAGTTATTACCTGAGCCTCTGGTTTCACAGGATGGGGAAAGGATTTGAAAGACTGTAGCGTGATCTATAGACTATCTTTGCTATTCAAAGTGCAGTTCAAGCGTCAGTAGCACATGCACTGCTTTGATGCTTGTTAGAAATGTAAAATCTCAGGCTTCACCCTAGACCTTACTTAACCAGAATTTTGTTTATTTCCTATATTTTACTTCTATTTTACTTAGATCTTTAGATGGTTCATATACATATTAAAATCTAAGATACACTCCTTTAGATAAATCTAACAATACGGTTTCTTGGTTTTTATGAGGTCTGGGCAATAATGGAAATGATTCTAGTTTAAATGTAGTTTAGATGATGAAAGCAAGGTGAGTAACATTCATTAAGGGCCTTGTTGTGGGTTTTACTGTTGTCTCATTTGGTTCTCATGTTAATCCTACAACATAGGTATTATTGGTTAATGGATATATATTCACAGTGGGTGGCTCAACTGGATTTCAAACCCTAATCCAGAAGTTCCACTCTCCTTCATAATGTCTTTGAGGTATAGGTTAGACACTGATGGTATAAAAACTAGGATAAAAAAGAGTGTAAGATGAAGTCTTAATTTGGTTCTAAATTAAAAAAGAAAAAAAACAAACAGTATTAAGACTTGAAAATTATTTAGATGTTTAAGATCCTTTCTCTTTTTTTAAAGTCAGTGTAAGCTGCGAGTAGTAGAATGCAACTGCATAATCTGACCACATCGCATGACTTTTTAAATACTGATAACAGAAGAACTAATATAATTAAACTTAAGGTGCATCTCAGTGGCTCAGTTGGTTAAGCGTCCAACTTTGACTCAGGTCATGAT